ATTTTGTCTCGTGACTTCAGAGGTTTTAATCACTTGCTGTCAGTGTAGATAGGTAATTAGGTGGGTTCAAGAAAATGAAGGCCAGTTTGGGTCCAGGAAGTTGGAGACTGCTGGGGAATTAAAATGTTAATGCYGCCAGAGCCCTTCCTCCACCCTTATCAAGTTAACCTGTCCCTGCTCCAACCTGTTGCTAARCTAACTTGTTCCAGGAATTGTCCCTCCCTACAAGGAGTTGTAAAAGTTGTTAATGCTTCCTTCCTGGATCACCCCATTTGTTCCTTCCCCTTGCCCATCTGCTTCTCACCTTTTGGCCATCCCACCTGCATCTCCTGAGCCTAAACACAGTACACAGGAAGGAGAGCTATCAGCAGGGAAAGAGCAGGAAAACAAAGAAAGTCTAAAATATATAAAAGGGGAAGAGACCCTCACTTCTTGGGATATTAGGATACCAGCTATGGCCCCCTGTCTCCCTCCCAGGAGAAGTCTATGTTACTATTTTTGAATAAAACCTGCTTTACACGCTTGCCTGAGCCACTTCTCTTAAGTTCAAATTTCAACGTTTGAGGAAGCAGAACTCATCACTGATAACCAGTGGGTCTCAATTGCTTGGCTCCACTGTTTCTGGGCCTGTGGTGAGGCAGAGCATCCTGGCAGGGAGCACATGGTAGAGCAAGGGAGCCAGGAAGCAGAGAGACAGGGACAATAAAAGAGACACAGGGGGTTGGGACAAAAAAAAAAATCCCTTTCAAGCCCATGCACCCAGGGACCTTCTCCCTCCCTCCAGAAGTTTCCACCACCTCCCAGTAGCCAACCAGACCTTTAACACATAGCCTTGGGTGACATTTCAGATGCAAATTATCACAATCAGACAATCCACAGATCTCCAGTTCCTAGGGGTTGGTTACTGGAATGTGATTTTATTTCTTTGGTAGTGTTACATTTTATTGATTTTTTTTATGTTCCTTGAAAGTCTTGTATTGGTATATTTGCATCTGAAGAGCCAACTCTTCTATCAGTACTAATTGGCTTCACCAGACAGCTCATTGAGGGTTTCCCTGCTCTCTTTTAGACATTTTCTGTGTATGTGCCTGTTCCACACCTATCATTCCCTCCTGGTGGGTAATTCTTAAAGCAGCATGCCTTATCTTAGTTCTACAAAGCCGAGCTGTGTTAGCTTTTTGTCACTGTGACCAAAATACCTGACAGGAACAACTTAGAGAAGGGAAAGTTTATTTTGGCTCAGTTTTAGAGCTTCAGTCCAGTGTGGACTGACTGTATTGCTCTGGGCCCAAAGTGAAACAGAACATCATGGTGGAAGGGCATGGTAGAGAAACTCCAATCCATTTATGGTGGCCAGGAAGCAGAGCAAGCAAAAGCAAGGGCCGGCAGAGAAGATGCACCCTTCCAGGACACACCCCCAGTAGTCCCCTGCCTCCAGCCACACCCCACCTGCCCATAGTTACCACCTCTTCAAACTAGGATGGACAGATGGAATTAGGTTATAGCTCTAACAATTCAATCATTTCACCTTCAAACATTCCTGCATTATCACAGGAGTTTTGGGGGACCCCTTATGTCTAAACCATAACACAAGCTGGGTTCTGAGAGCCTCCTGTTTATTTTCTTTATAGTGGTGCCCCAAAAGTCTCAAGTTGGAGTATTCTCATCTTTTGTACTAAAGCCTGCTCTCCATACAAGATGTTTATGCTCTCTGTTGCTGTCTGCAGGTATGTGCTGAGGGAGCTGGTCTGGTAGGGTTGGGGGGGGGGAGTGAGGCCTGAGCATCATTTAGAGTGCCTGTGGGCCAGTGGGTTGCACAGTTGAGGTGCTCTGAGTGGTTCATGGTGAGCTTCCTGCTGGAGCACTTGGTGGAGTCCACGGCTCCTGACCCTGCTTCCCAGCCTCTCCTAACCACTCAGCCATTCAGATCATCTGAGTATTCTTGGAGGGATGAGAAATCAGTGGGCCTCCTGCCTGGTATCCCTCACAGCTACACTCTCACGTTCCCTTATGGGGAAATCTCGGGCTGAGGGTGTGTTTCTTGGAACTGAGCTGTGCAAAGAGCGATATATGTGGGTAAAGCGAAATTCTTTTCAATGCATCTGTTCTTGTTTTGTTTCGTTTTGTTTTGTTTTTCATTCAACAATGTGCTGGAACTTCTCTGCTGGACTCCCAGACTCCCATGGAGGTGATCTCATCTTTGAGTAGCTGTCACAGTGCACAGTCTTCTGCAGGGGGATAGTGATAGAAAGTTATTTTGCTATCTTGCTGATGTCATCTTTTGATTTATGAATTTTAAGGATTTGTCTTATTGATTGGTTGAAAGTAGCTATATGGAGATGACTATTGTAATAATCCAAACTCCTTAACTTTAATTTAGGAAAGTTGATCAATAACATACTCACTATGCAGCCCCTCAGGGTTTGCTTTTGCAAACCTCTGCACAGACCACAGATATTCTTCATTCTTCGATTGAGCATCATTGTGTCCCAGGCATTGTGCCATTTACTGATGATGCAGATAGGAAAAAAAACAGTTTTCTTTCTCTCTCAGGCATCCAGGTATAACACATAGAAAAAATGCAGCACTTGTAGTAGACACTGGAGTAAAAATTTGTAAAAATGGACAGTACTGGCACCAAAGAGGGAATGAAGCAGAAAAAGCAGAACACAAGGTTAGAGCAAAGTTCTGGAGTCATATTTATAGGGCTGGAATCTCAGCCCTACCACATATAAGCCATTGACACAGAATCTTTGCGCCTCAATTCCCTCACGTGGAGGTGATGACGAGACCTATCTACAGTAAAAAACCAGGCAGCATGTGCCACACAGTTTCATTTTCAACCTGGATAAAAGGAAAGCTCTATTTCCTGGTTCCCCTGCAGCTAGGAGAGACCATGTGTCAGACTTTGGGCACAGAATGTGCCCAAAGAAGTTGTTGGATACCAATTGGAGCCTGGGACCCTAAAAATATCTATGTGATCCTCCACATGCTCTGTTCTTTCTGTGGAAAGACTCTGGGATGACTGGGCCATGTTATGAAAGAATCTTAAACCCAGCACTCAATGACTTGATGACAGCTGCCTGTTTTAGTCAGTTTTTAGTCACTGTGACCAAAATACCCAACAAGAACAACTCAGAGGAGACAAAGTTTATCTGGGGCTCACAGTTTCAGAGTTCTCAGTCCAGACAGCCAACTTCATTGCTCTGGTCCCAAGGTGAGGCAGAACATAACAGGGGAAGGGCATGGCAGAGGGCAGAGGTTATAGGAAGAACATCTCTTCCAAGGCACCCTAAAGTGACCCACTTCCTCCAGCCATGTTCCACCTGCCTACAGTTACCACCCTGTTATTCCATTCAAACCAGAATGGACTGATTAGTTACAGCTCTCACAATCCAATCATTTCATCTCTGTATATTCCTGCATGAACAGGAGCTTTGAGGGGACACCTCATATACAAACCACAACATGCCCAAGAGGGCTGCCCAGCCAGGCACATGCACATCAGATTCTGCTTGAGAAGACAGAAAGCCCAGTCTCACTGCAATGCTGGAACTGCCTTATTCCAACAACCAGCCTGTCCTTCAATGTTCTACTTCAAAGGTCACTGAACGCTGAATGAGTTAAAAAGCTCATGAAATGCTCTCAGTACCTGCTAGCCACTAAGGCTGTCATCATTGCCAGGAAACACATAAGGAGCCCACTACAGAACTGGGACTTGAGGGAATGGAAGGTGAAGGGGTTGTCAAGAGTTTTTGAACAGAAGGGGAAAAAAATATGAAAAGTCAAGGAAGGTAGAGAAAAAGTGACAGAGAGAGAGAGAGAGAAAAAAAAAAAAGAATATAAAAACCACTGAAATGGGACAAAGGAGAGCAAGAGCAATCCAAACAGTGGCCAGAGCAGCTGCCCTGAAAATATGTCCTTGCCGCCTAGCGTCCAGCCTGCACTGCTCAAGGCAGCGTGGCCAAGCCCAAGGCGCCTGCTGACAGCTGCTCACTGGCGCTCTGAGATTCCTCCCTCATCCGTTCCAGATCCAGATGGAGAGACAGGAGGCCTGGCCTTTTCATTTGTTACCACCGGATGGAAAGCTCTTTCTTGGACACTTGTTTTTACTACTTGAAATGTGTTTCTTTTATCACCTTCCGGTCACAGGCTCAGTCTTAGAAACAGAGACAGCAGAAAGCCCTGCATAGGCGAGGCCAGGCGAACAAAGGACAGAGCAGTCTTTGTCTCTGGGCTGTGAGGGAACAAAGGACAAATGTGTAGAATAGCACTAGGAAGCTGCAGAGGGCTGTCTCCAGTGCCCCTCTGAGTGACACAGTTCCCTAGGCCCAGGGGTTTCACCTGCAGCCAGGCAATGATTTTTTCTTAGTGCTAAGCTCACCAGTAGGCTGAGGAGCTAAAGCAGCTTTCATCTCCTTATCCCTGTCCCACAGACCCACTGAGAAGCATCCTGGAGGGGGACAGCCCTGGAACTTATCTGAGCCGAACTTCCTAAGGTTTGCTTATCCAGAAAGCAGTTGTGCTGAGGTCCCTGTTAAATGTTGTTGAGCTTTGAGGACAGTTAAGCCGTCACTTCTGCTTGTGAGAAGAAAAGGAACCATCTACACAGAAAATCACACCAAACTGACCAGACTAAATCAACCTCTTTAATATGGAAATCTTATGGAACAGAGAGCTACCTGGGCAAAACACAGTAGTTGTCCTTTCCAGGCAAAAAAGGCTACCTGTGCCTGAAAAACAGGAAGAAGCTATAAGGAAAATCAGATCCAGAAAAACAAAATATGGTTGTATGTGAAATTTATGAAACCTTTACCTTTCTCTCCAAATTCTTCTTCTGTCCAAGTCTTCCCTGCCAATTTCTGGCCCTGGTGTTTTCCCAGATTTACTTTCCATCAGGAAGCATTTGAGAGCAGTGCTTCTTGCTGATGGACTCCTTCTAACCAAGCCCCTCCTAGGAGTCCTGAGCATATAAATTAAAGTGCATTAGCCCCCTCAGGCCTTTTTCCTGGTGAGGAAATCACGTCTACTTACACATATCTGTAAATCAAAACCGATTTGTCTATGGCGTTTTTGTGGATATGGGCAAAACAAAACCCAGGCTGGCTTGGCTTGCATGACAGCTGAGCACACAAAGAGATCCATTCATGCCTTTGGGCTTCAGAGAATCCTCTGGTCCAACCAAGGTCAATGATATGATCACAGCCTGATTTCAGAAGTTAGTTTTTTTAAAGGTGCACTTCACTGCTGCTAAAACTATTCTTCCTCTTTTAAAACAAATGCTCAGAAATAAGAAACAAGCCTAAGAGGGCATATCAAATGTGAATGGTATTGGGTCCCTTTAAAATACTCAACGGTGTTATATAGTAGATTAGCTCTAAAGTCTAATCAAAAACACCTCCCATGCTGCAGAATTTGACTCACAATATGTAATACAGAAAACTCTCAGAAATGTTCACAATTATTATTACTATGTAAATGCACAACTCCTGCATCTTAGCTGAAATAGTCTCCTAGGGTGGGGAGTAGATTTTATTCTTTCTTTCACTCCTTTCCTTTCTACTTTCTTTTCTCCCTTCTCTTATTTTTTTCTTTATTATCCTGTTTTTTAAAAAAATGAAAAACAGGGAAAGAAAAAGTGACATTTATTGAGCACCCACTCTGTTGACAAGTGCTTTCCAAGTATTTATGCAACCTCACAGCAACCACAATTCCTTCCATCGGTTTAATCTGATAAAAAATCCTGTCATGCTTCCAATGAGCCCATTTTTAATAGATTTGATTTTTAAAGTAGCAAAAGCAATTTATTAAGTGTATTGCTCTAAGATGCCCAAGACCTTAATATGTCCAATATCTATTTACATACCTGTGTGATCTGCAAAGCCTACACATTGTCTTTAATTTAATCACACATGCACATCACACATACTCACAAATGCACACTCTTCCTCTTTACTCTGTGATGTGTGTGCAAGGTTTCATTTGCTGGTTGTGCTGTGTCCCTGGCTCTCTCTCTACCTCTTCTTCTTCTGCTTCTCAAATGCCTTGATTAGCCTCTGAGTGCAAGGCAGATGGACAGTCTTGAGAAAAGAAGTCCCTCTGCCCTTCCCATCACCGTTCTGACTTTCCTTGACTAATCCCTCCTCTGCAGCCTCCTTGCCCTGCCCTCTGCCCTGGTTGGCTCCTCCAGGATGTTGACCTGCAAGGAGTAGGGAGTTAAGGAAGGGAAATTGGTCCAAGTGAGTGGGGAAGAGACCTGACACTTCCCAGTATTTTCCCAAAGGAAAATTTCTTCAAATCAAATATCTGAGGAATTAGACAATTATTCAAATGGAAAGAAGTTGAATTTATTTAAAAGATTACATGGAATCTCTAGAAATTAGTAGATAATATCCCTTATTTGACCCATTTCCATCTTGATGCTTGTCTCACACCTGGGGCAGCATATAGCTTCCAACAGATGGGACCCAAAGTTGCCTCCAGACCTGCTCTTCCTTGGTTGAGGGGAGGTCTGTATTTTCCCAGAGATGTATTCACTCTTCTCCATGGTTTCCCACACTTATCAAGCTCCTCCTCTCTTGCTTCATCACTTTCTTCCAGGAAGGATTAAGAAAATCAACCTTTAAGTCAGGAATGGTGACTTGAAGTTTGAGGCCAGCCTCAACAAAATCCTGCCTCACAATAAAAAATAAAAAGAACTAGGGATGTAGCTTAGTGGTAAAGCGCTCCTGGGTTCAATCCCCAGTACCAAAATAAATAAATAAATGGAAAGGAAAAAAGAAAATCAACCTTCACACGTGCTTTTGGCCAAATAAATTTTACAGTGAAGAAATTTATACTTTTTACCAAAATAGCTTCTAAGAAGCATATAGGGAAGTTAAATTTTGCTGGGCAGAATTGTGCCCTTGAGTTCTCCCTGGATGTAAGGAAAATAAAAGCTCCTGACTGTTGGGCTCTTTGCTCTTTACAATCATAAAGGAACATTATATAAAGTAGCATTATATCTTCTGCTGAGGCGCAGAGAGGTTATGTGACTTCTTCAGGTCACAAAACTAATCAATAGTGAAGCTGAGCGTGGCCCACACCTGTCTGATTGAAAATCCTTATCTTACCATATGTTTCACATGCCGAGGGGACTGTGGGGGCTCTGAAAGTCTGTCTGTCCATAAACATCTGTACATACAGATATCTCTACAACTAGCCCCACAAGTACCTTGTAGGGCCTGTAGGTGGTGCTGGTAGAAGCACAAGAGGGACTGCCTATGTAGGGTCTATTAAAAATGCTTTCATCTACATTAACTTGTTTTACATATGGAACCGAGTCACAAATTCACAGTTTCTTCAGTATTCCAGGGTTTCTCAGAGCCTTTTGCTATAGTAATGTTAGCTAAGAATCTCAGAGAAAAATGGAGCATTTTAAATTTTCTAAATTTTTGACCAAGGGGCCCTTTGTGTAGGCAGAAGCACGGAGCCATTGTTTTGCCAGGCATTGGCTGGGAGATGCTGGGGTTGGTGGTCTGAGTCTTAACACAACGTTCTCAGGTATGCCAGTGAATTAGTTCATCAGGAGCCCCCCCCCCCCGCTTCCTCTTCTATTCTATTCTAAAAGGAAGCAGAAGATAGAAGATCTGGGAAGATGGTGTTGCAGGGGTACTTGAAGGGTCATGACAGGACTGACAGGGTGAGGGGATAGCAATGGTAAAGGTGGGGGTCATTTGGGCAAGTGATTTAACCTTTCCCAGCCTGAGGCTTCTAACTCATAAAATGGGCATGGCCATGTCCCCCTAGCAGTCTTACACAAGAGATGCTATGGGGTATAAGTATCATCAATGTAGCTGCTATTTATCATCCCATTACCTCTTTCATTGAGCATCATGACCTGGGGAAAATTTTGAAACCAAGTGAAGCCCATTTCTTCCCCTTTAAAACAAAAACAAAGGTTCTATATCACAAGGCTGTTGAGATGCTGTAAGCCTCTGCCCAGTGACAAGCACATGGTGGCTTCTCACTGTGTGATGTCAGGTTGTTTTCCTCCACCAGCCCTGCTGGATGGGGTGGGGTGGGGTGGGCACCCTCCAGCTTGCTTGCCTCAGTCCTGGAGAAAATGCACAGGTTGAAGGCTGTTGTAATTCATACTTCTGAGTCCTTCTTTCACCTTCTATTTGGAAAAATTTATTTCTCTTGGGATCATGAAGCTCATTCATCATGATAGGCTATTGGGTTCACGTCCATGTAGTAGGATGGACATTAATTACAAAGCACACTGACTGCAGATCTGATGTGACACCTCACAGCAACTGCCACGGCAGAACCCAGTGCTCTTGCTCCCACAGTCTCAATCTTGTGACCTCTCGTCAGGTGTGAATTGTAGCTGATCTGATCCAGGTGTGCCTGGGGTAGGCAGTCTCTGTAATTTTATTCAGTTCCGAAATCTTGTCAGTGTTCAGCAGAATCTAATGGTTCTGTGATGAATATTCCCCTCCTTTTTTCCCCCTCTGGTCAAATAATAACTATGAATTGGGGAAAACATTACAGATGAGAAACAATGAGCCCAGTTTTTGCTTGTGTAAATTCAAGTGAGGGCTGTCACAGGGGTTCAGTTCCTAGAGGCAAACCCAATAGAAACTGCCACAGGCAGCTTCCCCGTGACACTTCATTTCTGCAGAGTCTCAGGTAGTGTTACATAAATTGAATGTCCAACCTGCTTTTCTTTCTAAAATTTCAATAGATCTTAACTTGCAGGTCTTACAGARACATAACTATACTCCACACAGAGTGGCACACTATAGTTTTGCCAGGTGGAGGAGACTTCCTGTTGATATCAACCATTTTCATTTGTTGCAGGAACAGAAATAAAACCATATGAAAAATTCATATAAGATTCAGACATTAACCAGCACATGGTAAGAGCCAGATAGATAACTGGTAGCAAAGTTCATGCAGAGTCCTGTAATTTTGTGAAGAATCATTTGGTCTTCAAGTCTGCAACTTATTAGATTTCTGAACAAAAGAAAAATCCAAGAGCACTATGAAGTCAAATTTAGTATGCTTGCTTCACTCCGTAGCAGAAATGGAGTTACTAAAGACCATTTGCAATTCGTAGTTATTTGAAGAACATTACTGGATTTAGACACTTAGGTATTTTATGTGCATCTAGTGCCCTCTAGTGACAGGGTGAGCAGGGTCCAGTTACATTAAAGCCTCCTTGACTTTGAGAAAGCCTACCCAGACTTACAGGGAGCGAAGAGTCAGAAGCTCTTGGATCAGGAGGCTGAGGCAGGAGGATTGAGAGTTCAAAACCAGCCTCAGCAACTTAGCAAGGCCCTAAGCAATACAGTGGGACCCTGTCTCTAAATATAATATAAACAAAGGACTGCAAATGTGGCTCAGTGGTTAAGTGCCCCTGGGTTCAATCTCTGGTACCATGTTGGAGTCCCTTTATAATTGAGAAAGCACCTATCAACGGGCAACCTTAGGTTTATCAGATAAGAGTTCCTAAATACTTTTGAAGTTTCACTTTTCTTTAAGAGAAAGGACAGTTTCTGCCTCATATCTCTAGGAACTTCACTAGGGTGAGTGCTGAGTTTTTCAAGGTAATTGAGGTATACTCCCCAAATCACACAAGTCTCTCAGCTCCAGGAGACCCATAAAGAATCAGAATTCAAATGTTCTACAAGCCACAGCCAGAGCAGAATACTGGCCCCTCGTGGGTTGAGAGCCTTTCAGGTCAGTGGAGGACCTAAGTGCCTCAGTATCTCCCACACACATCTGCTGGGCAAACCTTTTATTCCTCCAAGCAGTTCCTCTGCCCAGAGCACAATCTCTGCCAATGAGACCCACATAGTGCCAGGGAGAGACCATGCTGACATTCTTATTTCCTTCCCTGTGGTGGCATGGTCATYAAACTATGTGACATCTTCTATACATCTGTTCCAGACACCGTTGCCTTAATTCAGGTCTTAGAACCATTTCCCACTGAGACTATTTTTTTTTCTCTTCCAAATTGAATTTGCTCACCAGTCATTCATCTTCTACTCTGCTACTAGCTCCTTTTCAAAAGAAGCATTTTCTTATCTAGCAATACCATGAAACAGAACAATAATAAGAAATGGCCCCAACCCACTTCTTTGGGCTCTCTTCCCATTTCTTCAGATAGAACATGCTGTCTTTCTCTGAACAAACTAAACCTTCATCTTTTCAGGCTCCCACACACTTTGCTCTCTTTGTGGAGACCTCTGGCCATCCTGAGAGATCTATAAATGCCATCTCCTTCAGGTACCATCCCCCAACATCATGCTGGCTCCCACCCATGACCCCACACTGTGCTCTGACAGCATTGTTGGTCACAAGAGTCTTGTTATCTCATTTATGCCTTTGTTTCCATGTCAACCTGCTCAAGAGCAAAACTCTAGTCTTTTTTCATACATCCCGGAGTTGCCTGGCTTGCAGTAGTATGCACACACACAGTAATATTACATGCATGTAATAAAAGATATGTATGCAATCTTAAAGGCCAGCTTCATTTGATCTACATCTCATCAGTCAAAATTCATTTTGGAAGCCTTGTGAAAGAGCATGGAATTCAGCATCTGACAGGACAAGGTTTGAGTCCTTTTGCCAGCTCTTACTCACTGTGTGAGCTGAAGCCAGTAATAAACCTCTCTGAGCCTCAGTGTTTTCACTTGAAAAATGGAGACAATAATACTTCTCATGCAAAGTGAAGACTAAGTAAGTCACTAGATGTGATAGTGCCTGGAATGTCACAGGCACTCACTGGTTGGAGTTTCAGCTTGCTAGTTATTCTCTATCTATCTGATATACAATATATACATGCACAGGGTAAAGTAGATTTGCTCTTTCTTCCTTCAGGAACAGTGGAAAGTCAGAGAATCCAGTTGTCTCTGATTTCATGCTGAATATATCTATCCTTTACATCATGATTCCTTGTACATTTTCACTTGTATTGGGTATAGACTGATTAAAAAAAAAAAACTAACGGAAGCTTATTCAAGGGTCAAGTATTACCTCATGGAAATGTTTGTCTGCCATTTCTCAGTTTTATACTGAGAAGTGGGGGAAAGTGTGTTTTTACTAATAG